GGATATAAAGTCATCAGGTAGATTTCAATGGTAATGTTTTTCACATCTACTAATTATTGTTTTTTAATCATTATTTATTTTTTTAATTTTTTTTTTCATACAGAAGAATTCATTCCAAAGCAATTGACATTGAGACGTTTTCACATGCATTTCTAATCTCTATATACATGACTGTGACCAATTGACTTTTTATATAAGCAAGTTTGGTAGAGGTGAACTGTAGCCCAAGTCAGGCAAAGCAGATTATCTGCTCCTTTAGATATGGCAAACTATATTCCAAGGCTCCCAGGGAACTTAAACCAAAATTCTGGAGAAAAGGAGCATGTTAGGAAACATTTTGATTTTCAGAAAGATAAGAGCTTAACACTGTTGACCTGTAAAGTTTAGAACTGATGATCAATTTGTTCATCTGCAGGCATCTGAAAGTCAAAGATTAGTAAATTCCAACCAGCACAATAAGGGAATTAGGCTGCACCAGGTTGGTCCTGTTTTCATAGTTGATGTGGTCATTGACTAGCACCATGTGTAGTCGAGTCCACTTACACTTTCAGTTAACAAAAGGATGAAACATTCCACATCTGAAAGCAAGGTGGAGTTTTATGGGTTGAAAGAGCCATCACCAGTCAGTGCAACCGTACACTAATATTATCCCAAGACACAAAGAAGTCTTTGCTGAGTGGTACATTTTGCACTAAACAAATACTAAGCAGCTGCTGTGTCTCTGGGTTTGGCCATGGTCATTCCTTCTTCACATTTTGCATATCAGTGTCTTGGAGAATTGGAGAGCAAGAGAATTTCTATATCATGAACATCTAGGAGTAGCCAAATAGCTGGCACAACCCAAATAACGGCAATATGGGCCAAATCAATCAAAAGGATGACTAGTAGGGAGCCGGGCACTATGTAGACAGAACAGTAGCAATTTGCTATCGGGGGAGGGGAGCCTCTAAGTCTGGAGTCCTAAGACCTAAGCCAGTGTCAGATCTTCTCTTTACTAGTTGTCTCTCAAGCCATAAGCTCTTTGTCTCAGTTTCCTCATTGAGAAAAGGGCCTGAAATCTTCATTTCTTAAATTACAGAGGTGTCAGAAAAAGGCTGGATGTGGTAGTTTGTATCTATAATCCCAACACTTAGGAATCTGAGGGAAGAGGACTGCAGTGTGCTTGAGGCTAGCCTGGGCTATAAAGTGAGACCTTGTCTCAAAATAAACAAATGAACAAAGACATATACATAGCAAAAAGGGTTAGAACAAATGAAATCAACAATTAGAAACAATTGAACAACAATTAGAAGCTAGTCAGGCTAAGGCAAGAGGATCAAGAGGATCAACAGGATCATGAAAAGATCATGTCAAGCCTGGGCAACATACTGAGGAACCATCTCAAAAACAAAACAACAAAAACAACTAATGTAAAACTATGAGACTACTATGACATTATAAAATCAAAGCACCCAAGTACCAAAAGGACACTGAGGGACATGTGATAGGCAGGTAACAACTTTGTCTCTGCATTAGTTCTCAAATGGGATGACTTTCAAGATAAAAAATTTAAGGATAAAACCAAATGTGCTCCAAGTGTGTGCATGTGTATGTATAAAGTGATAGGTAAAAAATTTGCAGGAGAATGAGCAAAAGGAGGAGGAGGCACCAAGACACCGATAAAACTCTCAGCGGGATAGAGCTTTATTTTGCAGAGGACATGTTCCCTTTGGGGAAGGGAAAATGTCAGCCCACGGATTGTGAGCTGGGGCTTATATATGGGGGCTTCAGGGTGCAGAAGGTGGGGAGTCTTTTGGGAAAAATCAGGCCGGGGGAAGCAGGAAAAGCAGGGCTTGTAAACCTGGCTCCGTTCCATCTGCCAGCCAGGATCTGGGTCAGGAAGTGTTTACTTTTTTGTCCCCCTAAGATAAGGGAAAGCTGCTGTGCTAAACAGATCCTAAATTCTCTGGTTAACAGGCAGGATCTGCTTATCTTGTCTTTGGAGATCAGAGGAAAGGCAGGCTGCCTCTTAGAAGAATCTGCTTTCCTTGACTTCAAAGGCCAAGGTGCTTACCAGCTCAGTTCCCTTTTTCAGGCTTGAAAAATCCAAAGTCCATGGGACCCTCCTTGTTGGGGAGTGGGGGGAGCTGCTGCTGTTTGAAACCCTAATAAGATACCCACCTCAAAGTCAGACTATCCACAGGGCTCTACCCAGAGTGCAGGATAAGCCATCTCCTTCTCAGGGTCCCAGAAACCAACGTTTTCCCCCCTTCCTTCCTTCCTTCCTTCCTTCCTTCCTTCCTTCCTTCCTTCCTTCCTTCCTTCCTTCCTCTCTCTCTTTCTTTCTTTTCCTTCCCCCCTTTTCCTTCCCCTCCTCCTTCTCCTCCTACCTTCTTCCCCTTCCCACTCCTCTTTCTCAACTCTCCTGCTGAGACCTCTAAAGTCAAATTTAAAAGTTATTTTGGAGTGTTTGGATCCTATTTCTTGCTTTTGTATTCTTCTTAATGTCTGGAGTAGACTGATTGGTGAATTGAGCACCAAGAAATACCTGATTGTTGGGGGACCCTTCTGCTAAGGTTGCAGTCCACCATGTCCGGATAGCTCTAAGGAGCTCGGTGCTGTATGGAGGACTCCCTTTCTCAGCGGGGGCTTCCTGCTCTCTGTCTGACCTTATCTGGAAAGTGCCTCCAAGCACAGATGCCTGGCCTTATTTGGAACATGACCTTTGGCATAGTTACCTGCAATAAACTGCCCCCAGGTTTTTTCTATATGATAATTAGGCATTGCCCTATAGCCAGATGATAGGATCCCCCTACCACATGTAAATAAAGCATACTACGAACACCTATCAGCTGAAGCTTTGGCTTCCACACTACATTTTTCCCTGACCCCCACTGAATAAATGGAGCTGTATCACTGAATCTGACTCCCCGGAAGGTCTTTTCCATCCTGCTCACTGGCAGTCCTGACCCCGTCTTCGTCACTTCTCCTCCCTTTGTTCTGGTGGGTTGGTGGCCAATGGCCCACGAAGGGAGGGAGAAACCCACAAGGAAACACTTTCATTCACAACAACATCCAAAGGAACATTTCAGAATAAAGTTAACAGAGGTGCTAAGTCTATATGCTGAGAACTATAAAGCATTTCTGGGCTGCTCACTGGCAGTCCTGACCCCGTCTTCGTCACTTCTCCTCCCTTTGTTCTGGTGGGTTGGTGGCCAATGGCCCACGAAGGGAGGGAGAAACCCACAAGGAAACACTTTCATTCACAACAACATCCAAAGGAACATTTCAGAATAAAGTTAACAGAGGTGCTAAGTCTATATGCTGAGAACTATAAAGCATTTCTGGGAGAAATTACAAACCTAAATAAATGATGAGACATTCCACTTACGTGGGTTAGAAGATGCAAAACTGTTAGCATGGCAAGGCTCCCCAAATTAATCTACAGATTATCCATAAACCTAAAAAATCTCAGTGAACCTTTCTGAAGAAATTTATAAGCTGACCTTAAACTTCTATGGAAATGCAAAGGATCTTAATAAGAGACAAAAGCTATTGAAAAAACAGGGATGCAGATATATCAATCAATACAGAATTGAGAGTGCAGAGATAAGCTCTTATGTTTATGGTCAACTGATTTTCAGCAAAGGAACCATTGCAGGAGGAACAGATCTCTGAACAGGTGATCAGGAACAACTGAATCTTAACATATGAAAGATGCATTTAGATACCATGCCACACACAGATGCACTAACATGGGCACAGACCTAAACAATAAGAACCAAAATCAACAAGGATGCCCAAGCTTTGACACTGTACTGTCATATTGCTATCTATGAATGTGTTAGGTCACATTCATAGCTATACTGGGACACATGTGGCCTGCATACCACAGGTTAAATAGGCCTGCATCAAACTTAAAACAACAAACAAACATAGGAGAAAAATCTTTGTGATAGGGCAAAACAAACAAACAAACAAACAAACAAAAACAACAACAACAAAAACCCCTCAGGTCTAACAACAGCAGCATAAGACACAAGAAAGGAACATACTAAACTTTTCATTATTCACCATTTGAACTTCAAAAAACACAGGCTGGAGAGATGGCTCAGTGGTTAAGAGCATGTACTGCTCTTCCAGAGGACCTGAGTTCAATTCCCAGTACCCATGTCAGGTGACTAACAACCACCTGAAATTCTAGCTCCAGAGGATCCAACACCTCTGGCCTCTGTGGGCTCCAGTACTCATGTGCATATACAGTCATATACACATACATATACATATGACTAAAAATAAAATCTTTAAAAATAAAAGTGACAGAAATTTTCTTTTTGAATATTTTATTTTGTTTATGTGTATGAGTGTATTGTCTGCATGTGTGTGAGTGCACCCATGTCATGCAATGCTGCCAAGGTCAGAAGAGGGTTTTGGATTCACCTGGAACTGGAGTTAAGGGTGGTTTGTAGCTGCCATGTGGGTGCTGGGAATCAAACCTGGGCCCTCTGCAAGAGCAGTCAGTGCTCTTAACCACTTAGCCATCTCTCCAGCCCCCAGAAGAAATTATTTTCAAGTCATAGATCTGATAAGACTTGTGACAAGAATATACAACTGATAAGAACAAATACCACACTCGATCTTACCCAGAAGGCTGAGAAGTGATTCCAGAATATATAAAGTCTTAAAGGTGAACAGGAAGACACACAACCTAATTTAAAGGATGTGGAGAAACTATAATAATCAACACATTGCACAGGTCCTTTAAAACGGCATAGCCACTTGAAAAACACAAAACATTAAATAAAAATTCAGCACATGACTAAGGCAGTTCACACATGAGGTACCGAAAAGAAATGAAATGCCTACATAAGACTTCTATACAACGTAATAACGAGATTCAGAGAATCAAGAAATGTGTAACAATTTAAATGTCCATTGTCAGTTAGACAAAATGTCCATACAATGGATTCAGCCGTAGAAGGAACTACTACCTCTGGAAAGAACTGATACCTGGGGAACAGGAGTGGAAGAACACTCATTATCAAATACCTAGCTACATATTTCTAATGTACCATGCAGCTGTACGACCAGTTGAAGAGAGAACGAGAACAAACAAACAACAAACTTGAAGGGATGGGTGTGCTCTGATGACGTAATGAGTTCAATGGTGAGTAGGATTAAAACATGAGTTAGGCCACAGAAATATTCTAACCCTATAAAAAAGGTGATAAATGTGATTCAATCAACATATTTAGTTCGAAGGCAAAAGTTTAAAAGGATGTCCACAAACAGACTAAAGAAAGCTGCCCTATTTGGAAAAGGATCTGGAAATCAGTATCTGTTTGGAACAATTCTGAGTGAAGATCTGAAACAAAACAGTTGGGGGCAGAGGGCAAGGAGGGAAACTAGACCTGTTTCCTGTGCCTCCAGAGAATGAGTCTAGGGACCAAGCCACAATTCCTAAAGCAAGTGGATTTGGAATCTTTATAGTAAAACCCTTTGATAATTAGGGCTTAACATACATGGTCTGATCTTAAAAGAGGG